TAATATGTTAAAAAATTATGTGAGGAGGAATGAGTTGGTACAAGATTCAAGGGTCACTGCCACACAAATCACTCATGTCTGCCTTATTATTCTGTGTGTGCGTGTGCGTGTGCGTGTGCGTGTGCGTGTGTGTGTGCGTGTGTGTGTGTGTGTGTGTGTGTGTGTGCGCGCAGGCCTGGTGTACGACTCCCAGATGCTGAAACACCAGTGTACCTGCGGGGATAACAGCAGGCATCCAGAGCACGCTGGGCGGATCCAGAGCATATGGTCCCGGCTGCTGGAGCGAGGGCTCCGGAACCAGTGCGAGGTATCTGCAGGCGCCGGGTTCCCGTCTTTCGGTTGGCCTGGGGGAGGCTTCGCTGACCTTTGCCCTCCCGACCCACAGAGCATCCGCGGCAGAAAGGCGACTCTGGAGGAGCTGCAGTCGGTGCACAGCGAGCGCCATGTCCTGCTGTATGGCACCAACCCGCTGAACCAGCTCAAGCTGGACAGCCGCAAGCTCAGCGGTGCGTGTCTGTGCACGGTCACATGCGCGCACTCATGAGTGCGTACACACACACACACACACACACACACATACAAGATTCCTTTATCACTTACATATTTATAGTACAACTCGTGAATGTGCATGAATATGAAAAATACAGGTTGTATACAGTGTGCATATATTTGTTTTAAATAATAGTATACCTTACTATACAGTGTGCAAATATTTAAAATACAGTAGGCTTTATGACACTGTAGGGACATTCGGTGGTAAATACAAACCTGCTCTTTCACACCCATGCACACTAACACACAGACACACACACACACACACACACACACACACACACACAACCTGTTTATCTACATTGCATGATCTGAGTCACATAACAACAATACCCTCCCCCCACCACTCTCTGATCTCCAGGAATCCTGTCCCAGAGGATGTTCGTGGTCCTACCATGCAGGGGTGTTGGGGTGAGTGACAGGCTGAACATCGACCTTGCACCGCTCCCAGGAAAATGTGGCTTCAAGACAGCCTGAGCATAGAAAGCTGTGGATGTGTCTCATTGCACTCATACATACTCAGTAGTGCTTAGTGAGAATATGTATGTCCGGTTTTAAGGCCGAGAAACTGTTGCGTAGAAATTTAATCTGCCTGGTGAGTTTTGCAACCAGCCTTCTGCTATTTTCTTAAATTTGAATCTGGAAAGTTCTGACAGGCCTGCAGACATTACAGCCTGTCAGAGCACATAACAGCTGATCACAGAAGCTCTCTTACGTGCCCAGAGCTCCCGCTCTTCATGTGTATATGCGCTTCGTCACCGGAGAACATAAGCAGCAGATGGCTGCCAGTCGACTCTCCACCTTGGTCAGCACTGACACAAACCTGATCCTCAAATACATTTTAAAAAGATTAAACCTGTAGCTTCACTAGAAGAACAAAGCTATAGATAATCGCGGACTAAATTTATATGCATGTTTTTTGGTTGGGTGCAGTTCTCTATCGCGCATACTAACTTTTCCAGCTGAGCAGGAGAGCTCCTTGCTCTCCTATGCGTGATTTTTGGGTTGGTGCAGTTCTCTATCACCCCTAGTGGTAGCATGTAGTATTGGAGGACTGAGGGAGGCTTTGACAATCTGTGAGAACTGTGGTGGCGGAAATGATGGGGGAGGCCCAGAGGGCTGAACTGGCAGCAGTACAGGAGACTGCTTGGTACAGCGGGACCAATTATCAGGGCCCGATCACTGCTGGATCCTGGTCACGTGACCAGGAAAAACCATTGGGGTGACAGTGATAAGACATTCCGAGGGAATTCTGGCCCCCACTGCGGCAGACCGCAAGAAATGTGAGTTTCGAGCAATGAAAAGGAAAAAAAAAATGGGCAGAGTCACACCAGCTGCCTGGTTCTGCCTGTAAAGAATGAACCAAAGCTGCCTTTGATTCAGCCTGATCTTTAGTTTCCACATGAGATGCAGGCCATCTTTCATATCCACATTTCTCGCATGAATGTCAGCGATTTCGGCAGAGCTGGGTGCGAACCGGCTGCCCCCCAGGCTTACAGGATGCCCAGCGCGCGTCCTGCTAAGAGCATTGTGCCATTTTGTTGCACTGTTGATGTTTGTTGTTGGGGATGACGCCTTGCCGATTCAGGTCTCTAGAGGCGATGCTGACCTGGGAGATGTGGCTCGAAAAAGCGGAACGATCCCAGGAGGACGTTCCTGGTTTGGCTGCGTAGCGGCTCCTCTGTGCGATAAATCACTGCAATAAATTAGCACAGAGCGACTGTCTGGCGTCTCGCACATGCTGACTTTTCCCGACTGAGCAGGAGGGCTCCTCGCTAGCCTGGGAGCCGTGGAGCTCACTTGGCTGATCTTCTGAGCGTTCCAGCGTAGTTCTGTCTTTGTTCATGTGACCCTTGGCTTCTTGGAACCACATTTTCTCCAATTGTCATGGCTATTCTCACTTAGCACCTAACATATTGCACACATGAGTATATCTAAACGTCAAATGGAAAGGTCTCAGGTACTTATCCCTTGGGTGATACGCCATTCATTTTACCTGCAGTTCTGCCGTGCATTTTCTGTCTGTCTTGTTTTGTGACTGTCACCTGACTGATGGGCAGGTGGATAACGACACCATCTGGAATGAAATGCACACCTCGACGGCATCTCGCATGGCGGCTGGAAGCGTGACTGAGCTGGCCTTCAAGGTGGCCAAGGGAGAGCTGAAGGTGGGCAGGCTGGCGGATTGGGGGGGGGGACCAAAACGAGAGGGCATGGAAACAATGGCAGGGTTGGGGACCCCTGTAAGTGCGAGAGCACGCTGACCTGTGTGCTGCGTCTCCCTCCCCAGAACGGCTTTGCGGTGGTGCGGCCCCCAGGACACCATGCTGACCCTTCCAGCCCCATGTGAGTCTGCCTCTCATCTACAGGGGGCCCCCTAGGGCCTCGAGGTGGTGCCCCCAGGTACACCTCAAAGACAAAGCCAGCGTGTGTTTGCGTGCGTGTTCGTGTGTGTGTGTGTGTGTGTGTGTTTGTGTGACACATCTGTGTGAGTGACCCCCCCCAAACCCGTTCGGAGCTGCAGTGTCAGCAGCAGACGTCTCCCATCAGAATATTTATGGGACTATCTTGGCATCCCCCTTGTGTTGATATACAACCAACTTCTCGTCTTTTCATTGTCATGATGAACCCCCTCCTCAACCTCCAACCCCCAAGTCTTTGCAGAGCAGGGTTACGTCTGATCCTCACGTGGACTCTGACCCCGCCCCCTTTGCAGGCCAGTTACCTCTGATCCTCACGTGGACTCTGACCCCGCCCCCTTTGCAGGCCAGTTACCTCTGATCCTCACGTGGACTCTGACCCCACCC